CAGAACTGAGGGCAGACTACGCCAAGCCTGTACCTGTCAGCATGTGTGGGATCTGGAACTGAGAGCAGGCCTGGCAGGGGAACTTAGTGAACTTCCCTACTAGACTGCAGCACCTGCTGGTGAGCACAACAGCCAGGGCTAAGGGCAGGCCAAGCCAGGCAAGGCTACAGTACTCGTGAGCATTTGTGTCGGCAGGTCTGAAGCTGGTCAGACTGAGGAAAGTCAGAGCACCCAGAGGTGTACCTGAAGCCAGATGGGATGTAGACATGATCAAAGCAAAGGCTAACATGTGCAAAAATCAGGGCTGCGAGTAGGCCTGGTGGGAGTTATTTAAGGGTTGCTCTGACTAGGCTGCAGCACCTGCTGGTATGAGTAGACTGAGTCTGTGGCAGGTTGGCTGGGCTGGACCACAGCACCATTTGGTTAACATGAGATATGGGCTGAGGAGGAACTGACCAGGCAGCTCCATCCAACAGTATGTGTGTTGGCTGGTGCAGAGGACAGATTGAACCTGGCCCTGGCCTAGCTGGTGCACAGAGGTTTGAGGTCATCCCAGGTGAAGACTCTTGGGGGACTCCCCAACTAGCCTGCTGGACTCAGACCCTGTTCAATGAGAAAATCAAAGGATGTGTAGTCCAACCTTGGATTGCATGTATTGAGACTGGGCTTCCTAAACTGCCAATGCCTATGTTATGGACAGCATGCCCAGGTGTACCTGGGGATGTAACAGTAGCTCACCTAGGCCTCGTCAGAGGATGGAAAGCAAAACAGGTTGGATAATTCTCCTGGCCAAACTCTACAGCACATTACTGGGTCTGTGGATGCACTAAGGTGGACTTTGACAACCAAGACACCTTGGAAAGAGTTTCTCAACCCTGGAACAACGAAACCAACAACTTCTCATCACAACTATGAAAACCACTCAAGCATCAAAACCCTCAAAACACTCTTCCCCACAATGGGGTCTCTAAGGTGTCATCAAATTACCATCATCCATCCCCTGGCACTGATGTAGTCTGCCAGCAAGGAGTGAGCACCTCCCGCTTCTCCCCTGTGGCACAGCAGCAGGTAGCGGGGGAGGGAGAAGGAAACAGAAACATGCCCTGTCCACCTTCCTCCACACCTGACCCTTCCTATCCTAATCAAAGGCTCTCTCAACTATGCAAACAATGTTAAAAAGAAAAAAAATTTAAAAACTATGACCACATGTGACTTCAATTGAAAGATAAAGAACTGCTAAGCCTCATCTACAGCAAAAAAACAAAAAACAGTTTCTCTTCATGCTGCCCTCAAACCCTCCCCCTCCAGTCTAATGCTCCGTGGCTTAAAAGGCAGGTAACTCAACTTCCTGTCCACATCAGGTATTGAGCAGAAGAGCAACTCAGAACATCAAGAAAACCCCTGAAAGCAGGAGGCAGCTGCTGCGCTGTCAGAGCTGAAAAATCAGTCACCTACACTCTAACATGAAAGCCCTGACATCTTCACATACTTCAGTGTGTAGCCAAGAAGAGGCTATGAGAACTGGCCTAGAGCATCATCTTCTGTTTCATGTAAATTAGCATGAAAGATAATTAGCTGATAGTGTGACCTTAAATTTTCAAAGGTATTACACAAGTCACACATTTCCTTCTTTCTCAGCATAAAATCTTAACAAGAAAATCAAAACAGATGACCCTAGCGCAAAAATGTTTAACAATTCTGAAAACATTTATATTCCTCAATAACCTGTAAAACTGAAGCTCTAAGTATGATCTGGGGACACCCTGGTAGTCTAACTTTGCCTTTCAAATATATAAATAGCACTTAAAAAACAAAACAAAACAAAACAAAACAAAACAAAAAAACCGGTTTGCAGGGTTCTGGCATCATGATCCACCAGTTTAAGCCAGTGCCTTCAGTCCTGGTATCCCGTATGGGAACTGGATAGAACCCTGATGGTTCTACCTGCAATCCAGTTTCCTGTCAATGTGCCTGGGAAAGTAGTGGAAGACAACCCAAGTACTGGGGTCCCTGCTACCACATAGGAGACCCAGAGAGTTCCAGGCTCCTGGCTTCAGCCTGGCCCAGCTCTAGCTGTTGCAGCCATTTCTGGGAGTGAATCAACAGAAGATAACTTTCTCTGATTCTCCTTATCTCCCTTTCAAATAAATCCTTTGAAAAAAAGATTTGCAAAAACATGAAACAATGCTACTCTTGGGGGGTGGATGAGGAAGTCAGTTATTTCTCATAAATATGCACTTAACAGATTTTTAGTTATTTTGAGATGAATTTAAAATGTTTTAGAATTTTCAGTTTAGTTTTAATTCTTTTTAATTTTATTTATTCATTTATCTGAGAGTCAAATACAACTCCCACCCACTAGTTCACTCCTCAAATGCCTACCAAGGGCCAGGCCAAAGTCCATCCAGAAACTCATTCCAGGCTTCCCATGAGGGCGGGGGGCCACCTACTTGACTCCCTGGCCCAGTACCTCCCAGGGTACACATCTGCAGGAAGTTGGAACTGGGAGCAGAGCCAAGACTCACACCCAGTCTCCTTAATATGAGACACAGATGTCTTAGCCATGTGGACAAAAACCCATCCACAGTGTGAACTTCTAACATGGTAAATATCAATAGATATCAAGCACATAAACACAACTTGATCATTTTGCGTGTCTAAATGATCTGTTCAGAAAATCCAGTACTGCCCTTTGTTAGGTTCTGAGCATGCTTTAGGGCAACATTCCTCAAACTTGTCGGCTCTGAACCTCTCAAAATTGTATAGAATTCCCAAAGAAACGAGATGATCTTCTTGGCTCCTGGCTTTAGCCTGCACAGTCCCAGACATGCTGGTATCTGGGGAGTGAATTAGCAGATAAAAGATCTCTCTGACTCTGCCTTTCAAATAAAATCTTTCTTAAAAAAAGATAAAATTAAGGGCCCAACATGGTGGCGTAGTGGCTGAAGTCCAGCATAGGAGACCTGGAAGAAGCTCCAGGTTCCTGGCTTCAGATCAGCTCAGCTCCAGCCATTGCAGTCACGTGGGGAGTGAATCACTGGACGCATGATCTTCTTCTCTGTCTCTCCTCATCTTTGTATATCTTACTTTCTAATGGAAATAAATAAATCTTCAAAAAAATTAAAAAGAAATTTCCTGATATGTGAATGTCTGATTTTGCTTAAAAAATGAAAAACTATTTCACTAATTTGTTTTCATTTAGCATAAAACTCATAATTTAGTCTTTCTCAGACACTAAGATTCACCTTTCAAAGTAGCAGTTGTACTACCCAGCTGATGCCACAGTAACTGCGGCGACTGTCTCTCTCTTCCATGTCTGTAAACGCAGGGGTTCTGTAGGTGGCTCCGTAGGCCATCCCAGTGCAGCAGGCACATCCTCCACACACGGGCAGGCAGGTGTTCACTCTAAACCCTTCTGTGGGAGGAGCACCGTCAAGGGCTGAGTGTTCTCCTAACCTCAGCTCAGGTCAGGAGAGCTGCCTGGGTGTTGGCTCTTTTCTCCCTTACCCAAGTACCCTTCTCAAAACCACAAAACAAGTGTCACCCCTCCCTTTCTCTTTTCTTTGGTTTTTTTTTTTTTTTGCTTCTTTTACAATAAACCAACTTTCAAAGAGCTATAACATCTCTACAACTAATTGAAATGCTGACTCTAGTAGAAAACTTAGCCATTTCTAATGGACACAAACAGGAGACTTTCCATTACATTGTATCTAACGAACCTAACCCATCAGGCCCATCAATCAGAAGACTTCAACACATATTTTAGCCTATTCTGGCCATGAGAGATAACTCAACCTTTCACTAATCCCCACAAAAATGGAAACCACACATTCTACAGTCAATCTACATTTAGTAGAGGAAGCACTGAACACAGTGAATCTATTTCTTTCCCCCCACTACTGAAAGCTCAATAACTTTTTTTTTTACTAAAATAATAAAAATATCTCAAATCTACAGCTTTATTTACACACAGCGTTCCTATGCCAATTCTACAGCTGAGAAAATAAAACTAAGAAAGGGTATGTAACACTGATAAGTAGTGGAAATGGGATTCAATTCATGACACTCTGTCCAGCAGACCAGGGCTTCCTGACCATCTCTAACATTTTCACTCTTACAAGACAGGAGTCAGTGGGGCCAACTTCCCAAACAAGACTTCCTAGCACACTGCTTAATGTCTTTACAAAATATGTTTCAGCCCCTTCAGGTCACCTGGCCTGGGTGCTGGGGCCAGCCTGAGTGGTACAGGTTGCCTTGCGTAGGTCCTTGGGCTTGCCTGCAAGGTTGATGTTGGGTTAGTGAGTCCCAGGGGTTGGCAATGTGGCCCTGGTCCCTTGGCCCGCCTGAGCAGTGGGTACTGGATTCATGAGTCCCAGGTAGGGCTTAGGTCGCCAGACCCAGGTCCTGAGGCCTACACGCGAGGTGGGTGCTGAGTTCATGAGCCCTGGGAGCTGGGGATCTGACAAGGCTCACGTCGCCTGGCCCCACTCCTTGGTCCTGCCCCAAAGTGAAAAAGGCATAGGAGCAGACGCAGACACTGATGCATACAGAGAATATGGCAGCCCAGTCGACACCTTCGCAAAGGAAGGAGAACAGAGCAAACTGGACAACTATCCCAGCAAACAATGACAGCAAAAATCTGGGTGAATGGAGACTTGAGGTCGACTACGGCAGCCAAATGGACATTGGGAGGGTTGCCTCTGCTTGGATTGGTGAAATCGAGAGCATTTCAGAATTATCCAAAACACCTGATCAGAACCCTCAGAACACGCACTAGAGCAGGACCCTAGGTTGATATTGAGTGGTGGTTCTCCATTCCTGGGTGCTTGGGAAGCTGGATGTGGCTTCCCCCTTTATTCTCCCCTTCCCCTCAGACAAGAAGAAATGCAGAATTAGGAAACAATGATTTCACCCACTTTTCCGAGATCCTCAGTCCTTCCCACCCTGATCAACCCTGTAATTGTCATCAAATACATAAAATAAATGAAAAGCAAACTTACCTTCAACATTTTCTTATTTGCCGTGTTCTTGCCGCATTCCCTCCTCAGCTGTTCACTCATTGCTTGCAGCTCTCTTCCAAAATGGATCATTCTTTCGATGGCAGCTTGACTTCCTCCACATAACTGGCGTCTTAACTGACTCGAATCAACTTCTGTAAGCAAAACAAAGTAGTATTTAACTACCTCACAGAAGCGAGTGCAAACAGGAAATGAATGCACATTTCTTATACATTATATACCCGTTGATTAGTAACCACCTTAATTTTATCTAAATATAAAAGCTTTTGTTTAACTTAACAAGGAATTCTGCAGTTGAATGTTCCACCTGATCTAGAGCTCTGGGAGTCTGAGATCAGGTGCCTTGCAGGCAGCTGAGTCATGAGACAACTGTTCAGTGTCAGGAAGTACCTAGCATGTGCCAGCCTCTAAAACTACAGCAGGCAACAGTAACAAAAGAAAAAAAAATCAGTAATCGCCTCCCAAGTTTTTTGGTTTTTTTTTAAACTATCTTTGAACAGAGATCAAACAGAATGTTCCTAGATGCCAAACAACCGGAATAAAAACACAGAGAAGACCATGTTATAATATTTAAAATAATTACACTACTTGTAGAAAACGATTTTTATGTATATTGGCAACTATTACTTCATTGTTCAATAATGCAAGTAGAAAAATACAAATCATTAATATACAGTGATGATAACAGCTAACACACTAAGCACTCTCCTTAGCTTTTCATAGTTAAGACTCATTTACCCTTCACAGTGACCTAGGTAGCAGTCATTATACCCATTTTACAGATGAAGATGCTGACGCACACAACAGTTCAAGTGGTTTGTCTAAGATCACAGAGCTGGGAAGCAGAGATTGCAGAAATAAAATCCAAGTACTCTGGTCCTAGAACTCCTTTTTTTAGTCACTAGGCTTACATTACCCCAAGGAAGCTGAAGCTGCTGATAGATCTCTCACGTGGAACATCAGGCTGCCCCCCACCCTTTTTTAAAAATAATTTAGGTAAATAATGTTTTCATGGAATTCCAAAAAGCAAAGTTTCAATACATTTTCAGTTAAAATTTACTATGTAAGTTGTCTACAAAATAAAATGAAATTTTGTATTATCACCTCTAGGCTACCTTACATATATATTTCTTGGTGGGGGTGAGCTGATATATAAGCACCTACTATTTACCGTACACAGTTCTGGGCAGTTATTCATGCTTTCAGTGAACGAGTAAGAAATTGTTTGACAAGTTGGCTAGAATTTGAAAAAGCCTTTCGACCCACTTGGCCTGGCTATATTAAAGTAATGTGTGAAAAATCTATCTCTGCCCTTCAGTACTCTAAAGGCTCAACATTAATCAGAAAAGCTCCATTAATGACAGTACTAGAGTTGAGCCTAAACAGCTCATTCAGCAAACAAAACTGGCACCTAACCTTCACAAGGAATTTGGAAGCAACTACTCTAGCGACCAGTCTCCTAACGCAGAACCATCACTGAACTAGGTTTATGCTCATCAGTACAAGTAAAAACATAACCTTGTACCCATCATTTGTTATTAAAAATGTAAGAAATATCACTGCAGACCCATTTCGGTGTCCCAGTCTTCCATTTCGTGGTCATGTTTAGAACTACCATTTAGGAAACCATTGGATGAGGTCTCTCCAACTCCATTGGGGTAGTGATCTGTTTCCATGTCTACATCATTACTGAAAATGAAAAAACAAACCTAGTTTTAGAAAGATCATACTTGCAACCTACTTTAAGATCAATCATTTCTCAACTACACAGCCTACCTACAAACTAGTTCATAAGACAACAGCAATCTGCAAACAGATATGCAGTTAAATCTCAACGTATTCAAAACCACAGAGATGACATTTGCCAAGTCTATATCCCTGGAAACAAGGGGGGAAATGGCCATGTGCTAAGTGTGGGAGGTGGTAGCTCAGGACTTCACACCAACATGGAACAATCACAATTTGGCACAACAATCCTATCAAAGTGCTCATAACCAGGACTACATACTGTTCACCAATTGCTACTGCAGCAGCTCTTGGGCCAGCCCTGCTGAAATCCAGTTCACTCTTTCCTGCCTTATACTCAATCTGTATCAGGACTAAGTTTTTCAAGTTTTCCATTTTGGCATTTGTGCTTGTTATTTCCCAAGTACGCCCTCTTTCACAATAATACTTCAACATCTGACTCAGTCTCACCTTCTGCCTCTTCGGCACCCCAACACTCTTCCTCACACATGTCTCATTGCCTAATGATGCTGAAGTATTGCCTCATCTCATCTTAATCTTCATACATTTGTTGCCTTACACTGTTTGACATTTTCACTCACTGCACACTGAATGCATATCAATTTGCCAATAACTCTATCTGGAAATGATTAACTTGTCAAAATCAATCTTTTAGAACCATTCACACTCTAAGTAATAATAAATAGCTAATCTTCACCTTTTCCCCAATGAACTAGGCAAAGAATACTCAATCCAGAAGTAAACAATAATAAAAATTTAGAGATTGTTGAAAGAACAAAATTTCTTCTTACAAAAGATATATTCATTTATTAAAAAGTGACCCAGATGTTATCACTATGGAATGAGCACATATGTGTTCACATATGCATGCAAACACTCCTGTTCGTCAAATCTTTACAATAATCACATTTTTGTTTATCATTATAGCTGCTTTTTTGTTCGGACAATTCTACTTAGTATTTGTGAGGCATTTACTCACTTAACACATATGTAAGTCCTCTGAGGGATGTTCTATGTTGGGTGTGAAGGGCTTTATGAAACAATCATTGTTCTCTGCAACAGCTACAAAAATCTGATCAGTACTCTGCCGAGAGTTAATCACAAGGACTGGTAAGATTTTTTGATGCAGATGGAAATCAAGGAAAGCATTCTGGAAGAGGTGACACCTAAACTTGAGTGTTGCAGCTTGAACAGACGTCACGATGGAGATGAAAAAAGCATTTCAGATAGTAGGCATACCAAGAAAAATATACAGATTTGCAAGTCAGAAACCCTGGGAACAGGTCTCAGCTCTGCAACTTATCTACTAACTGTTGACTTACAAAGTATCTTTTACTTGCTGCTATCAGCTCCACATCTGTAAAATGGTTGAAGTAGCTAGTACCACTTTTGCCTGCTTCACAATATGGCAATGAAAGCCACTATCAGCTATAAAAAAACGGTCCCTGTTTGTCAGATCTAAAGTTTCCTTCTTTGCCTTCTGTGCTGCACGTAAGGGAGGCAGCTATGTATTCAACATCCTTTAAGCCTGCTTTCGTAAACTCAGGGAATATGTCTGCTGAGCAACTTCCTGCCACGACACAGTATTTAACAGAAACATTCATGAACTCACGGCACTTGTGCAAGGGCAGAATCCATTATCAATGAGAAAGGACCAATTACAAAGCACAAAAGGCTAACTTTAATAATCCTCATTCATAACTGTTTACTATGGACCACTAACTTTACATTTTGCCAGCCTCAGGTTGTACTGCGGAATGCAACCCTGGAAAGAATGAAATCTCTTTATCTGCTCTTCCCAGGCTAGTCTTGTGGCATTCCATTGTAACCTGGGTTGCATAACACAATTTCTTTTGTAAATTTCTGCTATGTGTGACTGATAACCCAGAAATCTTAGTTAATCTGCCAATTTCCTAACAGATTTTTTTTTTACACAGACATCTTTCTGTAAAATCATACTTCATTAAAATTCTACATTAAGGAGCTGGCACTGTGGCATAGTTAAACTACCATCTGTAACACTGGCATCCCATATGCCTTTCAAGTCCTTGTTTCTCCACAGCAGATGGCCCAAGTACTTGAGTCCCTGCTAAGCACATGGGAGATCCAGATTGAGTCCTAGGCTTCTGGCTTTAACCCGGCTTTACCCTGGCCATTGCCACAATCTGGAGAGTGAAACAACAGATCAAAGTTCTTTTTCTCTGTAACTCTTTCGAATACACAAATACACCTTTTAAAAAATTCCATATTAAAAATTCTTTTAAAATTCCACATTAGGTTATCCTTACCTCAATAAGAAACGGTACACTGAACACTCCCGCAAAATGCTGTGTTATCACTGGTTCATTTTACAGGACTAAACCAACATTAATCTGACTAAGATGCTGAATGACCTGGGTTGGCTGAATGCCTAAGGACTTGCTCTTCCATATGAGGATTCAATCTAAATGATTACACATCAGAACCTACAGGCTTAATGAATCTCAAGGTTCAGAGTACACTGCACCAGATCTTAGATCTCTAAGCACCTCAAAACTAGACAGACCTAACAGCATGTCTAGAACCTGACAGGTCCTCATAGTCCTCACACTAATGGTTGCTGAACAACTCAGTCATCTGCCATACACAAGCTTTCAGAAAAGGTTCTCCATAACTATTTTTAATTGAGAAAACATTTTATGCATTACACCAAGAAACCTTCTACAGAGGAAAAACAGTTGGAAGACTGTACTAACATTCAAGGTTGGGCCCGGCGCAGTAACCTAGTGGCTAAAGTCCTTGCCTTGAATGTACTGGGATCCCGTATGGGCACCAGTTCTAATCCCAGCAGCTCTGCTTCCCATCCAGCTCCCTGCTTGTGGCCTGGGAAAGCAGTGGAGGATGGCCCAAAGCCTTGGGACCCTGCACTCAGATTGGCACAGCTCCAGCCGTTGTGGCCACTTGGGGAGTGAATCATTGGATGGAAGATCTTCCTCTCTGTCTCTCCTCCTGTCTGTATATTTGACTTTGCAATAAAAGTAAATTTTAAAAAAGTATCTTTAAAAAAAAAAACAGAGGTTAAATAAGCAGGTATCAGCATGACTTAGCTTGGAAACAGCAAACACCATTTAGTGAGCATTTATGGAGATCTGTGGTTGGTGGGCAGAGCCCTCAATCTGTCGTTGCCCTCTGAAGAGGGCAGCAGGGAGAGGAGGAACTAAGAACTCACGAGCACACCTGAAGACGTAAGAGCTCTGAGGGATTCCCTACCCTTAGGAAACTTCAGGTCCCAATTCCATTTAATGAACTTAAATTCCTTCAAATCCAATTCTCAGGTTAGGAACTGATTTCAGTTCATACAATTCAAATTCATTCAAACCTATTAATACCAGTAACAATAACCAAGAATGCAAGAATTGCAGAAGTCACATACCTGGTAAAGTTATTAAGCTGTTGTGATCTTGACATATTTATACTGTTCAGTTCTGGTACATTCAAACTGGATGATGGGTGTTTACTATGGCAATATGACTGATGTGCTTTATTAGATATGACACCATTACTACAACTTTCAAAACCTGAAAAAAAGGGGGGGCGGGGGGAGAAGATAGCACATAGCAAAGACCAAACAAGTCTCCATTTTAATTTCGACTTTCAAGATGTGAAAGTCACTGAATGAATTGAATAGCAAACTGATTACTTCTTTGAGAAGATACTAAGAGCACTTAATTGTGTGCTGTAATTATTGTCTCCCCTAACACTTATTGAAGAGTTAATTACGGTTCTCCTTCATGTTCACAATGGCCTTACAAGGGCAGCAGTCTTGTCTCTTAATGACAGGAATACATTCTCAGCAAACATGGCAAAAACTGCAACCCTGAGCAGAGTACAGGCAAAGCAGATACCCTGTGACAGCTCAGGTCCAGGTGCATCTCAGTCTCGGGACTACCACTGTAGACGCACTCCATCTTGACAGGTGACTTGTTACCAACATGCTCATTTTCCACACCACAGAGAGAGGCTCAGAATTCCTCCAAGACTAACATGCAGACACACTATTCCAGTGGGATGTTTCTGAGCACACAGGCAAGGGACTCACCCTCACCACACGCACATGCTGCTGCTGTACATACATTCAGGTGGTAACAAAGAACAAGCGCACGCAACTGACTGTGAGAAAAAGCAAAGGTCTTCCAGAAGAAAAAGGGAAATATACCCCCCCGCTTTTTTTTATTTAACAAAACAAACACAGAATTAGAGACAAGCCAGGAAAGATGACTGAGCAGGATCAGAAATAAACCTGTACAAGTGATGTCACAAAAGCCAGAAAGGAGAGCCTTTTGCTTACAAAAAGTACGACTGGTGAGCTGAACAAAGACAGCCGACAATGAACTGCGCCGTGGGCAGACAGGCAGCCACTTCAGTGAGAACAAAGAGACTGAGAGCTGGCAGCTGGGCAGCTGAGTGGGCCAGGGCAACACACTCAGTCAGATCACCTTCCCACGTGCACTTGCCTTTTCCTTACTAAACACACAGGACTGCAGCCTGACCTTCCTTAGGAAATCTGCTAATAAACTAGTTTGTCTCAGAAACATCCACGTTCTAAGTGAGCTACTGGTACACATGAATCTGAACCTACAGTTCTTCATCCAGAACATCTTGAGATCAAGCATACACAATTGCAAAACGCGAAAAAGGTAACATTGCAAACAAACGAAAAAAAAAAAAAAACTGTCTCGAAATAACAAATGGCAAAACGATTGTAATGGAAAAGATTGTAAGATTGAATCTCACCAGAAAAATGTGCAGTACTTGCTTTGCCTGATGCTAAATTGTGAATATTCATCCCGTGGCTGGGGCTCACAGCTGGACTGAAGGGCCGAGGACTAACAGGGTAGCTGTCTTGAGATTTTGGACTCCGGCCTCCCAAACACCGTACTTCACTATCTGTACCATTCACCATTTCTATAAACTGACGCACCCTAAAAGAAATAAGAAAAATTAACTCAGACATAATCATCAAATGAACTTTATCAGCAACAGATATCAGAAAAAAATTATAAAATCTGTATTGCTCGACAGGTTTTACCTTAGATAACAAGTTAAAATTCATATATTGTATTATTTAAAATTTTTCAGAAAAAAAAATAGGAAATATCACAAGAGCACAGTATTATCAGCTATTACCGTCTTAACCAAGTTTCACTAAGAAAATTTAAATCTATCCATACCTCTAAAGAAATACATACTAATTGCCTGGCTAAAAATTACTTCACCAAAATCATACTTGTGGAAGAGGCAAAGCCACATGGTTTCCATCTCCACATTCCAAAGCAGCATGCCCGGGTTTGAATCTCAGCCCTGGCTGGTCAAAACCAGCTTCCTGGGAGGCAGTGAGTCTTGAGCAGTTGGTCCCTGCCACTCGCAGAGGAGATTTGAACTTCTGGCTCCCATCTGGGACCAATGCAGGCATCCAGAGAACAAAGCAGCAAATAAAGTACTCTCTCCCTCTGTCTCTCATATTTAAATACAAGAAGTGTGTGCATGCAGCAGATAAGTTAGGGACTAAGAACATGGTTTTATGGACACTACATACACAAAGCAAAGCCTTCTCCCTACCATTTCTCACTCCAATCCCATTCCTAATCTCAACCAAAATAATCTAACATTTAAATCAATTCAAAGCACTTGTGTTACTTGACTTACAAAGAATTTCTGTGAAGTCTGAATCTCAACAACACAATTTTTAAAAACTCATACATATAAAGCAATAAAAATGCCAAATTGGGTTTACTATTATAAAAAAAAAAAAAGTAAGAATAAAAACACAGCAATTGCTGGTAAGAAACAGAACTCTTGTGCATGGTTGGTGGAAATACAAAAAGGTGCAGCCAGGAAAGCAAATGCTATGGCAGTTCTTCAGAATAAAAAACACCACACAATCACCACAGGACCCAGCACTGCCTCTTCTGAGTGTATCACCAGAACAACCAAAAACAGAAGCTGGAACAAGCATTTGTGCAACTATACTCAGCAGAAATACTCAAGAGGGCCAACAGGTGGAAGTAATGCAAGAAGCTATGTATCAACACATGAACAGATAAGCCCAAATGTAGTACATACATACAACAGACTACCGCCTGTTTCAAAGGAAGGAAATTTTGACACATGCCACAACATGAATGTATGGAGGACATTACCCTAAGTGAACAAGCTACTCACAAAAGCACAAATACGGTATGATGCTACTTATACAGGTACCTAAAATTGTTAAACTTGGAGACACACAGTAGAATGTGGTCGGAGGACTGAGGACAGAATTAACATTCGCCGAGTACAGTGTCAGGTCACACATTCAAAATAGCAACTACAAAGTAAAAGCTGCCATCTGCTTACAGTTCTTAACACAAACTGTTTAGTTGCACCCTGTTACTCTCATGCATTATGTTTCAAAGCTGTGATCAAACAAGATAAAATTAAGAACTATGAAACCATTATGGTGATTTTAACTATATAACACAATTGCGATAAGACACATACAGTAAACATAATATTTTATTAAACTCACTTTAATGTGAAAAGGAGATTAGGATTTCTTTCAAGTAAACTGGGGTATAACTGTTGTGTCGTCTCAATGGCTTCTCCCATTCTTCCTGCTAATACCAATTTTTGAATTCCTATCCAGAAAAAAAATTTTTTTTCCTTTAATAAAAGTAGAACCAAATTCAGTAGATCCTCAGAAAACAACAATCAGCAAAACATTTTTAGCTTAACATTAGTGTCGAGTCTCTTTTTCTAAAAGTATAATTTCATTAATCAATCCAAGAAAAATTTAAGGTATATTTAAGAAATTGTTGTAAGTATCTTCACCACAAACTATTTTTTTTAAATCACAAACATACAAATAATATAGAAAACACATCTAACAAACAACAATAAAATTAAAAGATTTTTTTAAAAGAATTTTTTTTAAGATTTATTTATTTTTACTGGAAAGGCATATATACAGAGAGGAGAGACAGGAAGATCTTCCGTCCGATGGTTCACTCCCCAAGTGGCCAAGTTGCAACGGCTGGAGCTGAGCCAATCCGAAGCCAAGAGCCAGGAGCTCCTCCAGGTCTCCCACACGGGTGCAGGGTCCCAAGGCTTTGGGCCATCCTCCACTGCTTTCCCAGACCACAAGCAGAGAGCTGGATGGGAAGCGGGGCTGCCAGGATTAGAACCGGCGCCCATATGGGATCCCGGTGAGTTCAAGGCAAGGACTTTAACCACTATGCTATTTTGCCAGGCCCAAAAGATCATGTTTTAAAAACAGCAACATTTAAAATTTCCTATCAAGAGGCTAGCATGTGGCACAGTAGTAAGTCACAGAGCAATGCCAATACCTCATGCAAAAACCAATTCCATTTTTTGCCCCACTTAAGACCCATCTCCCTGCTGATATGCCTCGGAAGCCAAGAAAAGATAGCCTAGGTATTTGGGCCCTTCATTCACACTGGAGACCCAGATGGAGATTCAGGCTCCTAGCTTCAGCCTCAGACTTCAGCAGTCTTGCCCACTATAGCCATTCAGGGAATGAACCAGTGAATGGAAAATCTATTCACTATCTCTTTCTCTAGCTCTTTTAAATAAATTAATCTTTAAAAAATAAAATGTCTTATCAAATATGATGATCTACTAAGCCAAAGACAAAAATAGCACTAACTCATATCGGAATATCTAAATTTGACCTCATTAAGCATTTGCGATCTTTCAGATGCTTGTTGAATTAGATGATGAGGATATAAAATGAGTAAACAATCACCTCTGTTCCACAGAGCATGTTAAGACAGTGAATAAGACAAATACACAATTAACTACGACATGACATAATCAGTGTTATTAAAGTGATTTAACCCATTTAAAAAGTTGTTTCTCAGCCATCACGGTTTCACTGTTTTTGCTTCACTCCTATCAATCAAGATATTTCTCACAAAAATTTCTTCAAAATTTTTTCTCCACATTTGAAGCTCCTAGCCCTGTGCAAATATTTTATAAGCAACCTTTTAAAATGTCAATGACAATACATTTCACAGGCATCTTTCCAAAATGAATGCACCTGAACATGTTTAAATTACAAAATAAAACTTCTAAAAGTTAAAGTAAGCAAATCTATAATCTACAAACAAGTGTTAACCATGCACAAGGGTTCTTACTTTGTCTGTTCTTAATGGAAGCTAATTCTTCTAGAACAGTCTGGTCTGTAGATCTGGCAAAGGCCTCTGCTGTGGCACAGTACCCATGATGGACTAAATAGGATGAAACCATTCTTAACATAAAAAAAAATACATGTCTTTTAGTCAAGAGAATACATACTTCATTCTACAATCTATACAGAAACGGTCTACTGTGGTGTTACAAAACCAATGTACTTTCTTGAAATGGCTAAGAACTTAAAAACCTCAAAATAAAATTAAATAAAAACCTCAAAATAAAATTAAAATTTAATCTAAATAAAATTTAAACAAATTATTTTGTTTTGTTCACATATTTCCAAAATAGGAAGTAATTATAAGTGCTATATCTAGAATATTCTCTAGCTGAAATCAATATTACCATAGTAAAAAGGACACTTTCAAACTTTATATAATTTCCACTTCAGCTTTATTGCATAACTATCTAAGTCATATGCTGGCATTTTGTAAAGAATCTATGTGAAACAGCCAAGTACCTCTAGGTATTCCAGAATTTAACCACTTTCATTATGCAACAATTCAATAATGATATAAGTGAACTAAGAATATTTTAGAACAAAAATGGGCAATACAGAGTTAGCCTTCCCTAAAAGAGTAACTCCTTAAATATAATTTAAACATGACACACTCTGGAAGAGTGAGTTTACTTTTTTAAAAAGCCACCAAATAGAGTCAAAACACAGACTCACAGTCACCTAGAAAATGTAGTTAGATAAACTGGAGCTCCAACAACAGCAACCGAGCTATCCTGTATCTCCAACCATGCTCAAGTGTAAACCTGCCTCCAACTGCCACTGCTAAGGGCTATTTATTAGCGCCACGCTCTAACCAACTGAGCTAACCGGCCAGCTCTAAGGGCTATTTAGAAAGCAGTGGGAAGCAGTGCTTCCAGAGGAGGGGAACCAGCGGAAAAGGAATCCAAGTGTCAGGGACTCTTTTTTTACTTCATCCAAGTATTCAGATTAGTTTAAAGAAGAGTCATCATGTGGAAAGGCCTCTCAGGTGAAGAGGGTGGGAGCCAGGAGGCTCTGAGTCTGAGACTGAGTAGAGTCTCCTGCGGCACAGCTGTCTTGCTGTGATGCTTAGGAGTAGCCATTTCCACAGCATTAAAGGAACGTGGAGCCCCTGGGCCCCTGAGTTGAGACTGCAGGACAAAGCCTCCAGCGTCCAGGCTCTGAGACACGAGCAATGACGGCACTAGGAAGAGGCATGCTGTCAGAATGATCAACGTCTCCCAAACACAGAAAACTAGACTAACTATGACATTTATCAATGTTCAAAACAACTATGAGGACACGTTTTAGGAAGACTGAATTAGACTGATGGTATCTAAACGTCTTTTGCTGTTTCTTTAGCTTAATCCTTGATGTTTCACTTTTTTTTCCTTTTTATAATTATTACTTTATGGTACAGTTCCATAGGTTCTGGGGTTTCCTTTACCCTCTCCCCCTCTTCCCAAATGTGTCACTTTTAACTCTACTATTTCAAACTTCAAGAGACACTGTGAGCACCAGCAGCAAACAGGTGTTATTTCTAGCATTCGGCACACGCACAGTGTAGGAATTAGAATTACACTTTCCTCAAATTTTCCATAATGAAATTCAGCTTTAAAAGGAAAAAAGCTTCCCAATGAAATGGGCTAAAAAGCTTCAGCAAAAGAAATAGAAATAATTTCATTTTGCAGCTTGTGTAGACACAGTGTCAGTGCATCTTGCAGCAGTATCAGCAGTTAGCTGTCTCACCGTTTCCTGGCCGACACTCCCTCCATGTTTTCCTAATTCTAGTAGCAGAATTGACAATGTTAGAAATATTAAAATTAATTAGTGAGACTTTCTAAGAATTCCCTAACCTGGAACCTGGAGACTTTTGGTCAGATTTTCCTATCCAAAATAGGGATATTATAATGTCCTTGAAGCTAAATGCTAATAACAAGTATTTGCCAAGAATGAGGGAAGAGGAGCACAAATAGATAAAATGTCAGCTATTTTTCTAACAGGGCAAGCTAAGTACTAGAAGATATGGTCAATGTATAAGACCTGAAACATACATGTAATTTCTATCCCAATACATCCTGATACTTATTCCAACAAAGCAAGAATCATTTTTTCCACCGTAAACATCTGAACTACTGAACTACACATCCAAACACTGCAGATCCTGAAATGTAACCTAGCCTAAGCTTTATTTCTTCCATCTAATGAACTGACTCACACTGAATGTGTGGCTAAATCAAACATTATTTTAAATTTTTTTATATTAGAAAAACATGTTGTTTTTCATAAATTAAAAAAACAATTACCCATTAGAATTATGATATAAATTAGAATACTAAAACACTTTACGGACACTAAAAATATTATCTCACAAAAAAACAGAAATGAGTAACAGCACTTCACATTTCTTCCCTCTTACTTCTGTATCATGGTCTGCCACTCCCCTTCTCGATCTCCAATAGGAAACCGATCTATCTGAGCCTGTATTTTGGTCCTCCATTCTCGCATGTAGTCTTCTATGTCAAACACAAAAGGATGCTGCCCAAAATTAGCATCTACTACTTCTCCTGGAGTCTGAAGTCCCACAGTAGGATACAAATTTGGCTGTAAGACAAAAGATTTCATTAAGTATCTATCCATTTAATGACTTATTTCTTCTAGTGATACCTTAAGAACAAAGTTATAAGTATACTTCATGCACATTTCTACACTGCAGTTGAAGTATCAATAAAAGAAGATCAAAACAAATGAACCAAAGCACATTATCTCAGCAGAACAGGGGTGCAGCATGTTGGGCCACAGGCACCTGTTCGCAGCCCAGCTCAGCATCCAAGCTGCTCCACTACACATCCAACCACCTGCCAATTCACCTGGGAACATGGTAGAAGACTTCCCAAGTGCTTAGGCCCGTCAAACACTTGGGAGAACCAGGTAGAATTTCCAGCTCCTGGGCTAGCTGTGCTCTATCTAGGCCAACTATTGCAGCAACTTGGGGGATAGCCACGTAGATGAAAGACTTCTTGCACCCTTCCCCTCTGTCAACATGATTTTCAAAAACCAAATAATTTTAAAATGTAATTGCATTTCTTGCAATCTATAACCAACAAGAAAAAACAAAAACAAACAAACCCCAGAGCAGTGTTTTGTGTTTTGCCTAATGGTTAAGCCCCTGGTCAGAACATTAACTTGGTTCTTATCACCCATGTGAGAAGCCTGGACTCGACTCCCAGCTCTGCACCTGAGTCTGTGGCAGCCATGGCCACTGCAGGCATCTGCAGCATGAACCAGCAGATGTAACCTCTGTCTTCCTCTCCTAGTGTGCTTCTGCCTCAAAAAGGAAAAATGTGGAGCCCGGTGCAATAGCGTAGTGGTTAAAGTCCTTGCCTTGCATGCGTTGGGATCCCATATGGTTGCCAGTTCCAGTGTCGGTGACCCTGCTTCCCATCCAGCTCCCTGCTTGTGGCCTGGGAAAGCAATCAAGGATGGCCAGAGCCTTGGGACCCTGCACCTGCGTGGGAGACCTGGAGGAGATTCTGGCTCCTGGCTTCAGATTGGCTCAGCTCCAGCTGTTGCGGCCGGTTGGGGAGTGAACCATCAGACGGAAGATCTTCCTCTCTGTCTCTCCTCCTCTCTATATCTGCCTTTCCAATAAAAATAAGTAAATCTTAAAAAAAAAAAAAAAAGTAAAAATGTGAACACCACTGATCAACTTCAAAAAAGAAAAAATCATTTTTACTGATGCAGAAACAATGTGTTATATATAAATATATGTATTTATATATATAAAGATTGTACGTATCCTTATATACCAATCATATATTAAGAATGTTACATAGGGGCTTTATGGCACAACATGGCTTGTGGTACTGGCAACTCAACATGCTGGTTCAAATTCCTGCTGCTGCTCTACTTCTGATCCAGCTCCCTGCAAAGCCATGCTGGGAAGCCAGAAGAGAATGACCCAAGTACCTGGGACCCTGCCTGCCATGTGCGAGACCAAGATGGAGTTCTTGGTTCCTGGCTTCAGCTTGGGAAGTGACTCAGTGGATCTCTCTCTCCCCTCACCTACCAAATGAATGAATAAACAAAGCAATCCTTTCAAAAAAAAAAAGTCAGACTCAGCACTATGGATCAGTAGCTAAATCCTCGCCTTGCACATACCAGGATCCCATACAGGTGCTGGCTCCTGTCCCCACTGCTCCACTCTCCATCCAGCTCCCTGCTTGTGACCTTGGAAAGCAACAGAGGACAGTGCAAAGCCTTGGGACCCTGCACCCTTGTGTGAGACCTGGAAGAAGAACCAGGCTCCTGTCTTAGGATCGATGGACTCAGCTCCAGCCATTGTGGCTACGTGGGTAGTAAACCCGTGTACAGAAGATTTCTTTCAATATCTCCTTCTCTCTATAAAACTACCTTTCCAATACAAATCAATAAATCTTAAGAAAGAAAGAAAGAAAAAATCAAACAGTAGTGACATAGATCACAGCAGGTTTATCTCTACTTTTATATATGACCTGCTAAAGTCAGCTGCCACAGAAGTATAAGAAGCTGGGTATGTAGCATTTTAAATTCACTAATTTATCTTACACTGAGGATGTATATATTTACAAAGGGAAAGTAATAAGAATTCCCAGCAAAACATGGGGTGCCATGGAAGGGATTCTTTATATAAAAATAAAAAACTCAAATATGCACATTTAAGAGTGAGAAAATGGGTGGATTTGATTAACTCAAATTCAGAAATATTCTAGGATTTCAAAGCTAGCAAGTATAAAGGAAGTAATCAGGTATACAAAGAAAAAAGAAAAAAAACCCGCAAGAATCCTTGCTTTGACTCCATCACTAATCAGCAGTTCTCCTGAACGGAAGAATGAGTATTCAATGTCTACTCAACACCAGGGCTTGATCCTATAAGGTTAACTATCATTATTTCTATCATACAGACACAAACATTGAGAATTAGGAGCTAAATAACTCACAGCTGTAGGCAACTACCTACGTGGCCTTACATCAGAGCAAGTGCTATGCTACTGGGAGAAAAGCAGCCAATAGCTGGTGGGTATCCTGGGCCTGGTTGATGCCAAATTTGTGTTAGCAATACCAGTACCAGTGTGCAAGCTTAGTTGCTTATTCCTTCCCCAAGCCTCTCCTGAAGATAAGGTGGGGAGGCAGGGAACTCCAGGCTGGAACACACACTCCTCCCACCCCTCGCCTGGTCCCTGGCTCCTGGCTTCATCTCAGCTCCAGCCATTGCAGTCATGTGTGGAGTGAACCAGGGGATGGGAGGTCTTTCTCTCTGTGCCTCTCCTTCTCTGTATACCTGCCTTTCCAGTTAAACAAATAAACAAAACACTTCATTTAAGCAACAGAAGCCATAAATAAAACATTGTTTCAAAATATTTTTAAAAATGTAAATTATGTTGGGTTATGGAAAAAAGTGATTAAAATGTATAAATGTGTTCTTAATAATTAAAAGCACCAAAGACGATTTTAAAGCTAACAGGAAAACAGAACTAGCAAGTCAGAAGTATACATCCAGCTAACAGTATCATGTAAGAAAGGAAAATGGCACATCTCTATTTCTAGCACTTGAGAGTCAATTTAAAACAAAAGAATATAAATGCAAAAGCAAAAAGTCATCAATAGAGTAAAAGACAATTCGTTGAATAAGTAGAGTTTGTAATTCTGATACTCTGGACTGAACAACCAGATATACTTTTAAAATGATCTGCTGGGATTCATGTTGTAGCACAGTAAGTTAAGCCATCAGCCGTGACACTGGGATCCCATACCAGAGTGCCAGTTCCAGACCTAGTTGCTCCCCTTCTAATGCACCTGGCAAAGTGCCTGTCACCTAGATGAGATCCAGATGGAGATCCAGCCTCCTGGCTTCAGCAGGACCTGGCCTTGACCTCTGCAGACACTAGGGGGTAAATCAGCAGATGGAACTCTAAGAACCTCCCTCTTTCTCTGTAACTGTGTCTTTCAAATAAATCTTTAAAACAAAACAAAACACTACCAACAACAAAACAACCTGTTACAGCAAAGTTCAAAACAGCTTCCTAGTGGCAAAGCATGCTAAAAATGTCAAGACCCAAATGGATAGTTTACCTCACTCAAGTTTTTGATGCAAATTAAATCAGAAGGGTTTGCTGTTTTGCTTTAAGATTTAATGGAATGAGACTTAAAATCCAACCAACATACAAGGGTCTGCTTTTGTGGCTGGCAAAACAGGTTCAGTCAACACCTGTGACCCCAGCATCCCATACGGGTGCCTCCCAGCTGTTTCAGTTCAGCTCCACCTCCCCAGTAATGCAGTGTGCCTGAAAAGTGGCAGAGGATGTCTCAGGGGAGACCATGATGGAGTTCCAGGTTCCTGGCTTTGGTGGGGCCTACCCCTGGTCAACAGTGCCATTTGGGGAGTGAATCAACAGATGGAAAAGCTTTCTTTATCTCTGTTACTCCACCATGCAAATAAATCATAATATAAACATACTTATGCATAGAAATGTAAGCTAATGTAGTCTTTTCAGAAAAAAAATTAGAGAACTATTAAAATCAATAGAGCAACTTCACTTAATCCTACAGGAAAAAATGTGTATAACGCAGATGACCTTCCGCATTATTTACGATCAAAATAAATCAAAAAGAATGCCTGGACATGGCACTGTAGTCCAGTGGCTAAAGCCTCACCTTGCAGGCACTAGGATCTCACATGGACACAAGTTTCTGTCCCAGTGGTTTCACTTCCCATTCAGCTCCCTGCTTGTGACCTGGGAAAACAATCAAAGACGACCCAAAGCCTTGGGATTCTGCAACCATTTTGGAGACCTGGAAGAAGTTCCAGAGTCCTGGCTTCAGATCGGTTCAACTCTGACCGTTGTGCTCATTTGCGGAGTGAGTCAGTGGACTGAAGATCTTCCTCTCTGCCTTTCCTCCTCTCTGTATATCTGATTTTGCAGTAAAAATAAATCTTTTTTAAAAAGTAAACAATTTGGAAAAAAATGAATTACACAGTCCTTATTCTACTAGATTACAGGTTTTTAAGCAACAGTTTTGCAATTCAGCTGACTAGCAGTGTGGCTTAGTGAGTTAGGCCATGACCTGTAGAACCACATCCCACAGGGGATGCCAGGTGGAGTTTCAGGCTACTCCACTTCTTATCCAGCTCTCTGCTGATGTGCCTGGGAGACAAGGGGAAGTAGGCCCAGGTTCTTGGTCCCATGCACCCACACAGGAGACCCGAGAGAAACTATTGCAGCTATGAGGGGAATGAACCAGCATATGGAAGACATTTGTCTTTTTCTCTTTCTTCCTTTCAAATAAATCTTCAAAAATATTTTGTAATTCAACTGCTTTATTCAACAGAATCATATTGTATCACACCATCAGCAGCAGCAGTCACTCTCCATTCCCTAATTCTTCTTTTTCAAGATTTATTTATTTTTAAATTTTTACTGGAAAGTCAGATATACAGAGAGCAGGAAAGACAGAGATCTTCCGTCTGCTGATTGACTACCCAAGCGGCTGCAACAGAAGCCTGGAGCCCAGAGCCTCTTCTGGGTCTCCCACACAGGTGCAGGGGCCCAAGGCTTTTGACCATCCTCCACTGCTTTCCTAAGCCACAAGCAGGGAGCTGGATGGGAAGCGGGGCCACAGGGATTAGAACTGGTACACATATGGGATCCCGGCACCTGCAAGACAAGGACTTTAGCTGTTAGGCTACCACGCCAGGCCCTACGAATTCTTAACCCTGACAATCACTACCTCCCTTTTGAATCAATGGATTTTTCTATATGGAATATGCTGTGCACAACTCAAAATATGACTCAAAACTCTTGTGACTGATGCCTTTCATTTATAATGTTTTCAAGGTTCATTCAAATGGCAGCATTTGTCTCAATTATACATTAATAGAAATGGTATTTTTCAGGAAAATGGTCATTAATTCTGAAAAAAATCCTGCACATGTAAAAACAGATAAAAGATTAATAAATGTTTTTAATTTAGTTGGTTAAAAGTTAAGCATACACAATAAACTGACATTCTCAACAGAATAGTGTTTTTTCTTTCGTCTAAGGAATCTTGTGAAAATGAAAGAAAATAGTGTACCAATTAAAAGCAGGTTTGAGGACTAGTGTTGCTAAAGAGGGTATTAAGCCACCTATGACACTGGTATCCCATTCCGCAGACTGAACTGTGTCCTGGCTGCTGCACTTCTGATTCAGGTTCCTGCAAATGGCCTGGGGAACCAGGAGAGGATGACCCCAGTGCTTGGGCCCCTGTACCTATATAGGAGACCTGGAAGAAGCTTCTGGCTTCCAGCCTTGGACCAGGCCAGCTCTGGTCATCATGGCCATCTGCAGAATGAACCAGTGAATGGAACGGCTCTCTTTTCCTCTCTAATTCTGACTTGAAAGTTGAACAAAAAAAATTTTTTTTATTCAAGTCAATCTCCAGAACTAGAAGGTAAAATCATTTGAGATGAATTTAGTCTATTCACATTTAAAGACCGTTCTCAACTAGTGAGGTGAGCTACAAGAAAAACTATTTTGAAAAAAATAATATTTTGAAAATCTTAAGTTTTCAGTTATGTAAGCACTCTATGTTCCATGATAAGACAGTTTAGATAAACTGTTTTTTTCCACAAATATACTCTCTCCCAGGATTCAGTGCTGCAACTAGCTAGTGAGAGCTCATAGGAGAAGATCACCAAAACATGAGGCGAAGCCTTTAAGAGGAAATGCACTTCTTTGAATTAGAAAAGAGTCTGTGCGAGCATTAGAAAATTTTATATCAGAAAAATGAAAAATTCCTAGAAACACAATAGAAGGAAACCTTTAATTCAATCATTCCAGCCACTGTTAGTTTAAAACAAAGATACACATCAGCACTGGCTGGTTAACTAACAGAAAGGGAGAAAACTAAATAATAATTGGAAAATGAGAGAATTAACCAGAAGGCTGTGCAAAAATGAGTCAAAATGCCTACAATTACATTAACTCTACCTATCAATGAGAAACAAAATTAACAAAAATGCAATTCGAAAAACGTGGTTTTGCACGTTTACGGTCATGAGAGAAAAAAATAGCTACCAAGCCCTTGCCCCAATCCCAAACGTACCTGAGAAATGTACAAACAAGTCCTCTGTCAGGGCCTAAGAACCCTATCAACCCAGCTACTGAAACTTGCCCATCACCACACTCTCTTCTCAGAATACCTGATTGTTCACTTACAAATCTGCCTACTCTTGAAGATGATCACTAAGCACCTTCCCTCTTTTTATGTCACTTTTTTGCATGTTAATCACTTTTATCAGCAAATATCCTGCCAAATCTAACTTGGATTCTTCTTCTATTAATACTACCTGAACCATCCCATTTCTTTGGTCCGCACTGTAGCCACAGGTCTCTGTAGTGTGTAGTTTCTCTCTTCCTAGCTTCTCTAAAATCCATTCCAATAAAAATTTCTCTACCTCTTGCTCAAACTTGTTTGTCAGGACCACCACTGACCTTCACTGTTGAATACAACAGTCCGTTGGTCCACTCTCATCCTTATCTCACATGATGTTATCACTGGCTTCGGGCACCAGCTGAGCACCACTCCTTCCTCTTAGTGTATTTCTGCACTTGATTCCTGGCTGATCGGGATTGCTACATTTCCCTTTGCTGGTGCCTTCATTTGTACCAATCAGCATGTCTCAGGAAATGGTCTTGATCTATTTTTCTTCTACGGCTCTTTTATTAACTTCAATGAGTCTTATTATTTTGAATTACACTTAGATGCCAATATCTCCTATTTTTATTCCAGCCTGCACTCCAATGACATACTTGAAAACTTCCTACTTGGGACTGGTATGATAGCTTAACTCACTAATCCTCCACCTCTAAACACCGGAATCCTATACGGGCACCATTTTGTGTCATGGCTGTTCCATTTTCCATCCAGGCTTCCTGTTTGTGACTTGGGAAAGATCACAGATATATTATATTATAAAAAGAAACAATTTTTAAATATAAGAAAAAACTTTCTACTCATTCAAAACTGATTCCTGATCTTATAGCTCAACCCCCTCTACTCCCCTCCACTGCCACGGTCTTCTCCACAACAGTGAGTGACATTTCCACTTTTTAAATAAAGATTTATTTTTACTGGAAAAACAGGTCATATTTAGAGAAGAAACAGAGAGAAAGATCTTCCATCTGCTGATTCTTCCAACAAATGGCCACAACAGCCAGAGCTACACCAATGAGAAGACAGGAGTCAGAAGCTTCTTCTGGCTCTCCCACATGGATGCAAGGTCCCAAGGTTTGGACCATTCTCCACTGCTTTTCCAAGCTGTAAGCAAGGAGCTGGATGGGAGGTGAAGAGATGGGACATGAACTTGCATCTATATGGGATTCCAGTGATTATAAGGTAAGGATTCCGCCACTGAGTCATCGTACCAGGCCTAATATCTTGATTCTTTCAACTGCTCAGACCCAACTGTCTGAAGTTACACTTTCTCTTTCACATCTTCAGCTCCAATTCAGGAGCAAGTTCTCTTGGTTTTCAATTGGAATGTTAAAAAGAATGCTTCTTAATACTTCTGGAAAACTCCACCTACAACAGTAACACTAATGCTAATTTTTTTCGAAAAGATAAATACTCATCACTGCCCATTAAATAGTGCTAGTTAGTGAGCAATTCATATCTGCAGACTCCCAACTTGCCTTGGATTAATGAGGTTATTTTATAATGTTGATTTCTTCTTGTCTGCCCCCACCTCCGGAATATCAATAACTTTATAGATTTGGTGTCTATCTTGCCTCTACTTATTGCATTTATCATTTCTCTCTGGCAAATTGCACCAACTAGGTCCTTATGGTCACTGTCCACCAGGCATCTGTCATGACACAGCCATTCATGCCTACAGAGGTATGCATTTGTTTAAAAATGAGTTCACTTAACAGTTTGTTTTTCCCAGTGAAACAGCTGGATAATTGTATACATAGGCATTTTAGTTAACAAGCCACTGGATCAACCGTGAAAGTGTCAGAGTCCAGGTTATTACCCCCAAAAAAACTGTGGTTAATAAAATGACAGCATCAAAATGTACTCCACATAATCCACAGTTTGGAAAAAAAAAAAAAAAACACACACACACACATATGAAGTTTGTCTTTCAACATAAAGTTTGAGGATCCCCACCATGTGCAACAGCCGCATGGGTCTCCTTGCTTTCAACTCACTTGCACAAGTGCCCCTTTAAAGTACAGTTGTATTATGATAACCAAGTCTCTGTTTTTACCTCAGAGGAAATGGCCTTCAGCTCTGTCTGTTCCTGCTCATCTCTTCCTCATCACCTACTAGGCATTCTCCACACCACACATCACGCTGTTCTTCACACCAGCCAGCTCAGCTCCTACCTGAGCACTTTCTTTGCCAACTTCTCTCTGCCTGGAACATTCTGGCTCTCCATATGTACTTGGCAGCTCCCTCAATACCTCAGAAGCCTCACCATGAGTACCTAGGACTCTCATGCTGTTTCTATCTTCACCTTTCTAAACATTAAAAAAAAAAAACTTTTAAAATATAACTTCCTAATCATGCATTCTCCGACTTCGCCAAACCTGAGTACCATAAACCAGGAGAGGGGCAGAAACGTTTACAAAAGTGTTTTGTCAAATGACATGTTTACAAAAACAAAGCCTGCCACACTGGAAGCCTAGATACACCTTGGACGAAATGATCAGAAGGAAGTGTTCACAGTCCTTTGCTTAAAAACTCCAAAGAAAACCAAGAAATTCACTTCAGTTCAACTCAAGGTGATATTAAAAACAACATTTGCAACAGCAGTAATTTGGAGCTTAATGTCTTAAGAGATCCTACCCAAAATGGCCAGGGTACGAGCTCCGGTCCATGGCCAACAACACGCTTGACAAATGTGTATGTCAGTAAGACTGTTCTAAATATGGCAGATGCTAATCTCTTTATACACATTTGATTAAAAAAGCAAACACATTTTGTAAAAATCATATCTTACCGGCAGGTCGGTGAAAGCAATACCTGAACAAAAGAGAGAGAGAGAGAGAGACACCATTAGAAGTTGTTTTCAAAGGCAAAGGGAGACACAGAAATGAATTATTAACTACAAAGATGGAAAGAATGGCTGAGGATAAGCAGGGATTAGAAGAACAAGACTAATTTTCACGGGTAACATTAACATATATAACTACTGTCCCCTTTAAGAATTGTCAACTCTGTAGTCACACATAAATTCTATTTTCAAGATGTTGCCATTGTCACCAGTATTTCTAAAATGGTTTTAGATATTAGGAACTGCATGAAACTGGGTGCAAAATACTCATTTGATATTTTATCCCAAGATGTGTATCCAGCCTCATAACTTTCATCTTTGTTTTCAACTTAAAAAAGCAAAAATTTTTCTTCTAATAGGGTAAAAAAAGTAATTTTTTTAAATAAAAGCACATTCTTAAATAAGTTTTTACTATTCCGGGCAAAAACTTAGTTCTTTTCTTCAAAGAATAAAGATTTACACAGTTGAAAATTTCTTTTCAATGTCTTTGATAAGAATTTCAACACAATCTTGTTCTAAATACAACTTAAACAATGGCAGTATCATTGGAATAAGACTATTGTTATCCCAAAGTGACAATAATCTCTCTTTAAATATTACAATACATTCTTCAGCTAAAAATGCAATATTAAATAAATAAACAAAATTATCTCTAAAAGGCCTCAGTGATGTCTAAAAAAATTAAACTCAGAGGAAGGACTGGTGTCAGGAAGTCACTGATCATAACACCTCCAGGCTCCATGTTAAAACCCACCAACCACAGCACCACCACTGACTCTGTGGTCTACATCCACACCTAAACAATGAGGCATCTCTGTTATTTGCAAGGCCTCTTCCTTACACCTTCCTAACTGTGCTGTGCCAACAGAAAAGAAAAAAATAACAGTAAAAACAAAACTGAATATAAGTATTACATATTTTAAATAACATGTAAAATTAATGCTCTATACATTAATAAAACACTTTCATGATTTTTAAAGACTGGTTACTTTGTCTTAGATTGCCAAAGGAGAGCAAAGCTAGGATTTTTTTTTCAACACGAGTGTATTCTAAAACTTCAGAAAACTAAAACCAATTCAGATAACAATGGAGAATATTTTAATGAAATGACCATACACATTCACCTTTTTTCATAAAATATTTCTGAAACATGTCTGGCAAACATGTCTAAATTTGTGTTGCTTAGCAAAAAATGGGCTCTCTGGGCAATAAAACCCTCACCATTTTAAAAATTCTAGCAGAAAATCCAAATTAATTTTATAGATTAACAAATTTTAACATTGCCCAAAAAAAAACCTAAAAGCTTGTATACAATCAGACCACAGCAAGACACCACTTAAGCTAGCAAAGTTACAGTTTTCTGCATTTTCCATGTTTGATGGGTTTTTATTTTTAAAAAATCAATTAATGGATGATGTCAATAAAATCACTTCAACTGAAGTTAACCTATACCCAAATCTTTTCCCCCAATTTTCATAGATTAAAATTTCTCTTCATATGATAAGTAAATGTGTATTTTTGAAAGTTTGTATGAGACAGAAACTAGGTACCCATCAGCTTTTAGGAAAGACAAGAAAATTAACAGCATTTTAACTTACAGATGCTACAATCTAAGCCTGAAGGAAGCCAACTTCCTGACAAGAGCCACATTATAAATCTTGGCTGGTTTCCTTTCTTAAGGCTTTGGTCACCACTGAATTCTGCCACTGTCTGAGGAAAGCAGTCATAGACAATACATAAAACAAGTAAGAGTGGCTGTGTGCCAAGGAGGTGACAGACCCAGGCAGGCAGGGCGCAGATGTGGCCACACTTCCAGCCCCTGTCCAGGAGACATGATTTCTGCTCACCAGTGTTTAACCAAGGAACCTCCTGCCCTAGTACTGAGGATGGAGAACTAACACTGAAGAACCCTGAGTATTTGCTCAGTACCATACAACGATCTAAGAGCTCGATCTCATTTCAATTATCACATTTTACAAATGAGGAAAGAAAGGCATAGAAACATTAAAATGTTGAAAGTCAAATAGTGGAAGCCACTAGGTCCCACTCCACCAAGTCTGACTAAAGGACATTCACTGGCCATAGCTCTCTTTACTTCACAAATATTAAAACATTTTACAAATGTGCAACACCAAATACTCCAAATCTACTAGAACTTAGAACATAATTTCATTATTAGATGTCTTTTTCTTACATTTTAAAAATAGCTTTCCCAGTGATGAGAAACACTCAGTTTAAATATTTGTGAAATTCTAAGAAAAATTCAATCATATTACTTGTGATCTTCAGAATATCTATTTTCTGAAAATTTAGTTTTATATGACTAGTTTTTTTTTTAAAGTTTTATCTTGCATTTTTTAGACAAAGTTCATACTGAAAAGCAGTTTTATTTTGGTTCAGTGAGAGATCTTAAAAATACTATGCAGCCAAATCAACTAATACGGTATCATTTAACTTCTTTACAAGCCAGAGTCAGAACACTACAGGTCGGACATCCCTAATCCTAAAACACCCAAAATCTGAAACAGTTGAGCACTGTCAAAACACTGAAAGTGCAAAATTCCACATCTGGCTTAATGTGACAGTTCATAGATACATCAAAAATACTGTAAAAACACTACTTTGAGGCTTTGTGTACAAAATGCTCATAAAATAATTCATGTTGATGTTTTAGTTTCATGCCCAAGCTCACCACTATGCATGCGCAAATATTTCAAAATCAGAAACACCTGAAATCCCAAGGCTGGATTTGGGGCACAGCTGGTGAAGAACTGACAGCAGTACCCCTTTGTGTACCACTGGCATAAGACCCAGATGCTCCACTTCTGATCCAGCTCCCTGCCTACATGCCTGAGAAAGCAGCAGAGGATGGCCCAAGGCACTGGGACCCTATATCCATCCACAAAGGGAGATAAGGAAGAAACTCCTAGCTTCAGCCTGGCACAGCCCTGGCCATGACTGTCACTCAGGGAGCTAACCAGTCAATAGAAGATAGATCTCTCCCTTTCAGTCTTGCATTTCAAATGAATAAATATTTTAAAATAAATAAATAAACAACAACACCTGAAATCTAAAACACTTCTGGTCAAGAATACTAGGAAAGAAATAGGTTACACAACTCATCACAACAAACAAATGAAAGGGGAAAAGAGTTGGCTATTCTGGAAAAAAAAAGTTGGCTACAACAGTGAAATCACAAATACCCACACAATCTGCACATTAAGTATAAGAAGCTATGCATGTACTAATGAGAATACACACATCTTCTGTGGATGTAACAGGTAACAGAAACACTCAATTAAATATTTAAAAAGTAAAATACTAAATCCAATATAAATGCACAGGATTTATAGAACAATATCTAAACAACATTACTAATGCAGCCAGAGATTTAGAACTTTACTTCAAAGCAACAGAAAGAATGATGCTTGCTATGTGTGTAAGCACAGCAGCTGATGTCTAATTTTTATAATTCCTGCCTGAAGAGGAACTTAGTGTTTATTTTCTTTTACTTTACGAATCAAGGATTTTTTTCAACAGTAATATGAAACCTTAAAATCAGAAGCATCAGTGTAGTCATTCTTTCATACTTTCTGTAACTAGAAAGAGCCTCTACAGGAATATAATAACATTGTGTACAATTTTAAATCTCAAATGATATGAGCACATGCATATTCAACTGAAGCCCTAATTTTCTTAGTTTCACAGTATGAGTTTCTTCAAGTTTTTACTATTTCCTTTAGTTCTTATTAGTCACCTAAGCTTTGTCCTAATAAAACTTATTATTTGCTTCCTTAAGTCTGTTCTGTCTTACAAAACTGACTTGTAGTCACAGCTTTTTGTCTCTACCAGCGTATCTGGGCATATCAACGACCTTCACTTAATGGCAGCAGTAGCTTTGCCTCCCAATGTTACTGTTCCTGTTCTACTCTAAGAACAGATAGCCCTTTTATCCCTAAAAATTGGATCAAACAGTGAAGGGTTTTCCTGAAAGCAAAGCAGAAAATTCTTAGCATTTCAACTACTGCAACACATGCCTCGCCAGAGGATTATTTCTATAGCTATTCCTATCATGATATAAAGTGTTTTTCACAGAGCACAAATTTTCATCATTTCCTCAAACTGCTTCTGGATTAAACACTTTTCAGAAGCATCTATTTGTAAAAGAGAACATCGCAATTATGACTATCATGCCAGAGGTGCAACAATCAACAGTATTTTGGTTATCCTGCAAGCAATATGTAAAGCAGTACCTAAACTATGTCCATTCTTGGTGTAAAAGCAGGTATTGTTGATAAGGTTAACGCAACAGCCAATGACATCACCAGTTGTAAAAGTTGGTCCATAAGGTTGTCCAGTTCCAGAAGAACAAAATGAATGTCCATCATCCCCGTGGTAACCATACGAATGTTTATCCCATCCTGAAGAGGAAATTACATCACATTTACAATGAAAAAGTAAAGCTCCTCTGTACTAGACTGAGTTTCTAAGATGATAAAAACAAAACAGATAACGTACATTTAAATTCTCAACAGCTACAATACAAACAAATTTTTGTAAACAAAAATATTACAACATCAAGGAAAATAAATTTGCTTAAGAAAACTCTAGCACAATATGAAATGGATGGAGAACTCCTACCAGTAAAAAAAAACACCCACAGAGAAAGCACATTTTCCATACATTTCTTTTGCTAATATGCCAAAGAAATTTATTAAAAAAAAAAAAAAATCACCTTAATGTAAACTATTAGATCACATCTTATTCAATCACCATGAACTTTAGGGTTGTGATCCAAACCTAGTCAGGCAAATCTGTGGTTTTTCCCATAATACCAAATCAGTCATGTCTCTATCACTGTAAAGATTCACTGATACGGGCCTGGTGCAATGGCCTAGTGGCTAAAGCCCTCGTCTTGCAACCACCTAGATCCCTTACAGGCATTGCTTCATGTCCACACTGCTCCACTTTCCATCCAGCTTCCTGTTGCAGCCTGGGAAAGCAGCAGAGGACAGCCCAAAGCACTGTGACCCTGCACCCATGTTGGAGACCATGAAGAATCAACCAGGCTTCTAGCTTCAGATTGGCTCAGCTCTGGCCATTGCAGCCGCTTGGGGAGTGAGCCAGCTGATGGAAGATCTTTCTCAATGTCTTTCCTTCTCTTTGTAAATCTGACCTTCCAATAAAAATAAATAAATCTTAAAAAACCAAAAGATATCATTGATACATCTTCTCAGTTTTTTTTTTTTTGGAAAACTTTTCAAGCAACAAAGACTTCATTTAGATCCCCTTTCAAATACAATTTTACTAAAAAAAAAATATGAAACATATCAGTTTAATACAATTACATGACAACTATATTGGTCTCATTTGGTGTGTTAGTTTATTCATAGAGATTTATATTGGTCATTTTGCTTCCTATTTAAAATAAAAATGCACCTCCCAAAATGATCTGCAATGCTAGGAAATCGAATTTTTAAAAGTATAATTCAAAAATCAAACACTGAGTAACAGTTGTACCATCTAAATTAATACGTTCCTCAGCCGAGATTTTAAAAACATGAGCAGTCAAGGCTGAGTGAAAAATCAGAAAAGTGAAGGAAACAAACACAACCAGCCATATGATTACAGACAGAAAAAAAACAAAAAATTTAAACAATGTCATATAAATGCTAAGTTTATGAAAACTTATTAAAAACCAATCACCTTCCACTTAGAATTCATAGATGGTTAAGAATACAGACCACCACCATTTTTATTTCAACCCACTGAATGAAATGTTAGCCAAAATAAGCTAGCTGTAAGACAGCGTAATATTCAATTACACATGTACCTGGTAGTCTATTCATGTTCACACCTTGGGCTGAAAGGCCGATTCCCATATAGCTGTCAGAAACAAAAAGAAGAAGGTTATCACAGCTTTCAAACAATCAGAACCAAGCAAAAGTTGAAGCTATTAGTATAAAAAATATTGTTAAAATGAATTATACAGCAACAAAGGGCAGTATTAAATCACCAATAAAATTCACACACATAGTAAATTCAGTAAAATAGTCATCATTTATAGACATAGCAAAAATATTAGTTATGACTATGCCCTTGGCCTAAACACATAAAAAATTCTCCAATTCATTAAAAATAATTATAATGGTTACAATTTGTCAAAGAAATTAGAGGTACATATGGAAGAAAAATAAATTCAAAACAAAGTAAGCAAATGTGTTTTTAGACCACACAGAGACACAATGTATGTGCCAAAATCACTGTTTAAGCATTTGACAAAAGGGCCACTGGTGTGGTGCAGTGGATAAAGACATCACCTAGAATACCAGCTAGTGTCCCAGCTGCTCCACTTTCAATCGAGCTTCCTGCTAATGAGCCTAGGAAAGCAGTAAAGATGGCTTTTCACCCACAAGAACAGTCGTGGCCACTTTGGAGAGTGAACAAGCAAATCCGAAGATGTTTGTCTCTCAATCTAACCAAAAATTAGATTAAATGCCATGATACACTGTCTGCAACAGACATTCTAGATTCAAACACGGCAGCTTGAAAGAAAAAGGAGGAAGGAGAAATTCCACTAATTACCTGACCATTCCAGGGAAGGATTTTGATGGTACAGAAAGAAGACAGAACATGGGATTATCGAATGTCTCATATAGAGAAAGGATGGGGGGGGGTGGGGAGGGGGCGACAGGACAAGGTGAGAAGGCGAAAGCACAAGGGATGGCTGAGAACATATTACCCATTTACTCATCATTCAACCATCTACACTTCCCTCAACCATTCATCCTTCCCACAACCACCATCCATCTTTTTTTCTCATCTCACCTCTCCAGCCACCTGTCCATCCACCCAGCTTTCCTTCATCCATCTATCCACTCTTTTATTTTTACTTTTTTAAATTAGCACTATCATTTTATGATACAGTTCCATTGGCCCTGAGATTTCCAATACCTCTTCCCCAAATCTCCTCCCCCTCCACAGTGAGTTCCCTGTATTATTACTATAGTATAATAGTAATACTATAGTTCATCATAAACAGTCATATGTCCATCATTTCGGGCATGGACAATGGCAGAGAGTCCAGCATCCTATTGCCAAGACATAGTTAACAGTCTCATTAAGAGTCCATCTTTTATCTGGAAATAGAGATGCATACTGCATTGTATCCTCACATGTGGATATGATGGTCTCCATTATACAGTTACTGTACAGTCCCTTAAATGAAAAGTTGCAAAACAAAATCAACAAAAGGAAGAAAAAAAAAAAAACAAATTAACACCCATGAAGTCAAATAACATGCTACTGAATGACTAATGTGTCGCTGAAGAAATGAAAAAAGAAAATCAAGAATCTTCTTGAAGAAAATGATGCTGCTATGTGATCTATAGGTCAGTGAAGAATTTAATGAGAAAGTATTTTGAAGACACTTTCTAGTAAACAGTGCCCCAGCAATACTCCATATTCCACTTTCATACTAACATGCTCCCTAAGAGGCTGGTTATTCAAATAAGCTGGTTTCTTTCACCTACATGGAAAATTTGAATGGGGTTCCAGGTTCCTGTTTTGCTCTAGCCCAGTCTTGGTCATTGTGCACATTTGGGGAAACAATCCAAAGATAGGAGATTTGCCTCTCCCTTTGCCAAATAATAATAATCATAATAATTTTTCATAAAATTCTTTACTGACTAGGAAAATAATACAGGAGAAAAACCCAATTTATATGAAAAAAGGGAGAAATAAATGAAGACAAAACATTTTTTCCTTCAAGTTTTTTTCATCTGTGAGTGTACAACAGTGCACCTGCGTGTTGCTTCCCTATCAGCATATCCTCAATAGTCAGGGTTTAGCCAGGCAGCAGCCAGGAGCTGTCATTCCAGGTCTCCCACAGGAGCGACAAGAACCCTAATACTCAAGACATCATTTGTTGACTTTGAAGGTGCTCATGAGCAGGAAGCTGTAATCAGGAGCACAGTTAGGACTGAAACCCAGACACTGACACAGGGGATACAAGCACCCCAACTGGTGTTTTCACTGGGAGGCTCAATACCTCCTCCTAATGATTCAGTGGATCTAATCACATCAAACCCTGCCCTGCTCCTACTCTATAACTCTTCCTTTCAAATAAATAAATCTTAGAGAAAGACAGGGATATGGGGAGGGGGGAATTGGTTACACTGCTTTAGGGTATCTGCACTTCTACGAGGCATCATTGTAAAATACTTAGAGGGGCTGGCACGTGGTATAGTGCATAGAGCTGGTGACGCCAGCATCCCATATGGGCTCCAGTTTGAGATCCAGATACTAATGTGCCTGAGAAAGCAGGAGAAAATGGCCCAAGTGGTTGGGCCCTGTACCTACAAGCACAATCTGGAAGAAGCCCCAGGCTTCAGGTTTCAGCAGGCCCAAACCCTGTTTACATTAAGGCCCTGTTTACATTAAGTAGAAGAGGAGGGAAAAAAAGCAGTAAGGAATGAGTACAATGAGTAAAAAAGAGAAATATGGTAGATAAAAGATCTAACCATAGCAATGATCACTATTACTATGAGTGATCTAAACATGACAATTAAAGACAGAATTGAGAAGATTAAAGAAAAGAAGTCTTCAGTATGTTGCCTACAAGTAACTCATTTTACATGCAGTGACACAGAGAAATTAAACAAGATGAAGATATGCCATGCTAACACTAATCCAAAGAAAGCTGAACTAGCTAAATTAATTTCAAACAAAGCAGAATTGAGAACAAGGAATATGAAGGACAAAGGCGAACATTATAAAATGACAGAGAATCAATCTCCAACAAAATAATCTTGTATGTGTGTATACACCTAACACAGTGTCAAACTATGTGAGACAGGAAGTGATAGAAAACCTTAAATTCACTGCCGTAACTGAAACCACCAATACACCCATATCAGTAACTGACAAACACACCTGGAAGCAAAGAATACTTTTTAGTAAAACTACAGTGAAACAGACGGAACAAATGCTTTATGAGCATTGCAGCATAACATTCTTCTTACATTTACCAAGACACATTGAACTCTGGACAATACAGCACATCTAAACAATTAAGATAAGACACAAATGATATTCTCAGATTAAACTAGACATCAACAAAACAAAGCTGGAAAAAACCCAAAATACTTAGAAATCAAACCTTTATTTTCTAAAGGTTTATTTATTTTTTATTGAAAAGGCAGTTTTACAAAAATGAGACAGAAAGACCTGGTTCGCTTCCCAAGTGGCCCCAATGGCTGGAGCTGAGCCAATCTGAAGCTGGGAGCCAGGAGCTTCTTCTGAGTCTCCCATACGGATGCAGGTTTCCAAGGCTTTGGGTCACCTACTATTTTCCCAGACGACAAGCAGGGAGCTGGATGGAAAATGGAGCAGCCGAGACATGAACCAGTATCCATAAGGAATCTCAGTGCTTGCAAAGTGAGGATTTGGCCTCAGAGCCATCACACCAGGCCCAAACAATAAGCCTTCAAATAACACATAGAACAAGAGGTCTATAGTGAAATTTTAAAATATTTTGAGCTTCATTTCAGGATCTTCCATTTCATGAACAATGAAAACAAGCCATCAAAATCTGTGGGATGCAGTGAAAGCAACATTCAGAAGGAAATCAGAAGGGAAAAAAAAAACACAGCATAGAATGTAATGACATAGAAACAGTAACTGGAACCAGGTATAGCATAGCAACTTAAGCTGCTGTTTGCAATTCTAAAAAATTCCATGAGTAGACCAGCTCAAGCCCTGATTATTACACTTAAAAAAAGATTTATTTATTTTTATTGGAAAGTCAGATATACAGAGAGAAGAAGAGACAGAGAGAAAGATCTTTGGCCCGATGATTCACTCTCTAAGTGGTCAGTGCTATGCCGATCCAAAGCCAGGATCCAGGAACTTCTTCCAGGTCTCCCACACAGGTGCAGGGTCCCAAGGCTTTGGGCCGACCTGGACTGCTTTCCCAGGCCACAAGCAGGGAGCCGGATGGGGAGTGGAGTTGCCAGGATTAGAACCGGCGCCCATGTGGGATCCTGGTGCGTTCAAGGTGAGGACTTTAGCCAGTAGGCCTCACCGTGGGGCCCGTGATTATTACACTTTTATTTAGCTCCCTGCTAATGTGCCTGGGAGAACAGCAAAAGATGGCCCAAGTGCTGGGGCCACTGCCACCTGTGTGAAAGACCTGGCTGTAAAGACTCCTTAAATTTAAGTGTCAGTGTTTAGCTGAGAATTCAGGCCACTGGTTAAGGTGCCTGCATCCCACCTTAGAGGGCATGGGCTTAATATTTGGCACTGGCTCCTGACTCCCACTTGCTATTAATGTACACCCTGGGAGTCATCAATGATGGTTCCAGTAATCAGACTCCTTCTACCCATGCAGGAAACTTGGATTAGATACCCAACCAAGTCAATACGGTTACTGTAATACTTAAGGAATAAACTAGTGGATGAGAGCTTCATCTTCTCTTTGTCTCTGGCCCTCAAATAAATAAAAATTTTAAAAAGCTGTAATAATCAATTATTTAAGCTTCTACTTTAGAAAAATTAAGAAACAAAGGGGTCAACATTGTGACTTATCAAATCCTCTATCCTTTGGTGTCAGCATTTCAAAAGGGCACTGGTTCATGTCCCAGCTGCTCCACTTCTGATCCAGCTCTCTCTTAGTGATCAGGGAAAGCAGCAGAGAACAGCCCATCCTTCGGGGCCTGCACCCACTTGAGACCCAGAAGCTCCGGGCTCCCAGCTTTGGATCAGCTCAGTTCATTATGGGAGTGAACCAGTGAACATTCTCGCCTTCTCTCTTTAAAAATCTGCCTTTCAAATGAAAATGATTTTTTAAAAAAATCCCCATGCCCACCAGTTGAGGTGGGATCCTG